AGTTCCTCATTTTTTTTCCAATGCAAGAAAACTTTTGGAGAAAAAATACACAGCCCTACCCCAGTTATTTTGCCTTTTGCTTTGCATTCGGCCCATTCTTAGCACCAGCCGGTGCTCTATTTATGATCTCTGGTGCAGATTTCAATTCTCACATTATCTACAAATATGTGTCGAACAGGAGGGAGAAAATACATCCTTTGACCCATTCCATAAGCCCTGAAAGCTGGTTACAGGGTTTTAAGAGGCATCTTCTTGGCGTAAAGTGAGGCCACCGAATTGGCGCAGGCTGAAGTATTTTTTTTTTATTCCTATTGTCCCAAATATTTTTTCCTAAATTGCACCAAAGGGTGACCCACCAAGATTCTGGTAGCCCCCTTGCCAACTAATGCATTTTATTAAAACTCTTAAGATTTTGTGAGCTGTAACTTAGTTTTTTAACCGTATTTAATTTTTTCTTTTTGTGCTGGGGTTTTCATTGGTTTTAGTCGATTTCACGGCTGTTCCCCACCCAGAGTCACTCGTTTGAGATGGGTGCTTATGCAAATTAAATAAAATAAGTAAATCAAATAAAAATAAAATTCTCTTCCACAGGTACATGGAGTGGCTACACCGATGTAAGATGTAAATTGGATGAGGAAGGAAAGGGGAAGACATGGTAGTTATATCATGAATCTTACGTGTCGGACAAATGACAAGCCCCTCATTAATTAAGAATTGTAATGTGCATGTCAGAACTGTGTAGTATGGCTAAGGTGGCTTTGTCCCAAGTCCTTTTTGCAAACCACGCTGACTTTCCATGGAAGAGAACCTCTGCAGCTCATGGGTTGAACTGTGATGTCTCTGGTGCTCCCTGAGCTTGGTAGCTTGGTTGCAGACATCTCATTTCACTGATGATGCTACCAAGCTGGGTAATGAAACGTCTGCAAGCTAGGCTCAGAGAACACCCAGGATGCCATACACCGATTTTAAAAGTTAAGTGCAGCAAGCTAGACCAGACAAAGGAACAAAACATTTCTCCTGCAACACAGAGGCAGATAGGAAACCCAGCCTTGTCTGCCCCACGCTAATATCCAGACTCCTTTTTGGCATGGCTCAGAAAGGGGGCAGAAGCCACCTCGGTGGACAATCCGGCACCCTTGACCTGAAAAATAAAGGACAAAGGTGTTTGAAGAAATTGGCCCCAAAACTCTTAGAAGCCCTGGAAAGCGCGATCTTATTTCAGCTAAATTAAACCATGCAAACGTCTCCTTCGAGCTCATACCCTGCTGCCATCAATCAACTCTTGGTGGCCATCATATTGTTTCCAGCATAGAGGCTAGAATTTCTGGAATGGAAGTGGAGGGCTGGGGCAGCAGCAAAGCAAGCAGCGAGAAAAGAGGCTGGCGTTTGGCAGTCAAGAGCTCCCTCCATCTCCCCGTGGTCAATGACCACGGCGGCTGGGTCTCGAGTTAGAAACGCAAACGCGGATTGTTTTCAGGGACCAGAGTTAGCCGGTTCCTTTGCCAGGGAAAACCAACCACATCATTGCTCCTGAGCCAAGCTTCCCTTCCCCAAGCCAGCCAAGGTGCTGCTAAGCTCAAGGGGAAAACACAACACTGTGGCTTCGGATAGATCCAACATGCTTATGTTGGAATTTGAAGAAAATCCTCTTTTTATTTTCCCTTCCAGCGTCACCAACCTCTCCTTATGGATAAAACTTGGGTCCTTTTTCCAAACCTGCCATTGTCTCTTCTCCTGCATTGCCTTGCAGAGAGAGAGACAAGGGTGGGGGGAGATGGGAGCTCACCTCGCAAGAAGGTCAGAGCAGAACCCTGTGCAAAAGTGTCTCCATGCCAATGGGTTTTGTGGAGAGAGGAAGAGGAGAAAGAACCAGCTAAGGCTAAAAACATGTGTGTACATAATAAGTGCCCCCCACCCATCAACCACAAAAGTCCCAACTCTTGCAGCCCTGGGGCAGAAGATAACAAACAAGCTGGGAACTGCATGCTCTTTTAGCAAGCCAAATTGGACAGGCCACAGAACACAGGTCAAAATCCCCAGAGTACTCAGCCGCTGCCGCTTAATGTGGAACATGCGTGCATGGATTTATTCCCGGCACTAAACATTAGGCGTTTGCTAAATTTCCCTTTAACAGTGCTACGGTCCTGCTACCCAGGTTGGATCTCCCTTTCTCAGTTTTATTTCTATCGTCGCTTAATAAAACCACATACAAAATGATAAAAGGACGGCCAATGTAGGGAGGGAAGGATGCCAGCCCAGCCCACGGGTGCCTCTTGATTGGAGTCAAGAGCGCCTGACTGATAAATCACAGCATATGCAGCATGCATGCTATTAATCAATTCGCAGAGTCCAGCTGGTAGAAAAACTGGAGGAAGGAGGGGAAAAAAAAAAAAAAGAACCAAGCAAATTAAGAAGCCATCTTTTGTGCATGAACCACGTCGGAGTGGGTTAACACAAGAATCTCCAGTTATTCAATGGAAGCTGGAGTTTGTTAGCAGCAGTTCGGAAGACGGCCGACCGGGGTCTGAATTTTTCATCCCCTTCTCTCTCACATACTGAACAAAGCTCTAGTGGATATGGTGCCAGGAATAGAAAGTTGGGTTAAGAGGGTCCTCTTAACCCAACCCCCCCCCCCATTGTGTCTAATCCCAGCACCCAGAAAACCAAATCAGCTACAAGATAAAGGCTACCTTAGCTAGGGGAGAATTTAAAAAGTGGAGGAGCGAAACTCTCAACCCACCCCAGTTATTAGTCCTATAACCTTGGTTGCTTAAAATGCCAATTTGCCTTTTGGGATATGATGAGTTACAAATATACTTTACTGGCAGGGCCAAGATTCTCCAGCACTGCAAGCATAAAAGTTCTGGTATGTAAAAATATCATACAATCCTTAACGTAGGAGCAGGCCATATATTCATCAGAATGGTGATCCATGTCCCACCAATGATTTTTCTACCAAGATTGTTTAATTTCCAGAAAGGAAGAAGAGCGTTAGCAGATTTCTCTAGAACTTGCATGGTTTTTTTTCTCCTTCTTTTCCCTTTTAAAATACCCAGTGCTAAGAAAGCATGAACGAAGAAAGAAAAAAAAAGTTCTACTTCTCTATCTTTTCTAAACTGTCTCCCAACAAAGAGAGGACTGGAGCCAATTCAGACCAACAAAGTGCTTTGGAAAAATCAAACTTAAAGGCTGCATCAAACAGGAAAGGAGGGAGGAAAAAAAGACATTTAATATACGCTTTGAAGATTTTAAGGAAAACAACAAAATGCTCCCTGGCCAGGTTTAAAGGTGATTTCAAAGAAGGGGGAAATGTTTGATATACTGTACTTCAGAACATTCCAGGAAAAACTCACATTAAAGCTGCAGATTAGGAGTGGTGAGGTGAGAAATTAAGGCGCTTAAGAGAGAAGCAGGATGAACCTGTAAAAATCAAGTTATGGGAAGGTTTAGTAAAACATATCAGGATGAATCAACTTCTGCTTCACCATGCTAAAGGGTGCTTCTGACTCTGGTTTTTCACCCTGAGACAAAGCGCAAATTTCCAAACCTGAGACAATGTTTGAACCCAGAGTTTTTCAGCTGCAACTAAAACTTGAAACACACCAACTTTTTGCACAGGATTAGAAACAAGTCCTCCCCACATTCTCGGAAAAACAACCTGCAGGAATGCAACAACATCATTTGAGGCCTTCGAGATCCAGCGGAGAAGAAAAAAAAAACAGAGGATCGACTACAGAGTCACTAAAAGTGAAATGGGCGGCTTCTAAATGTGATTACATTAAAAAAAAAAATACACAGAGAGATTTTCTCTTGGAAAACTGCCTTTCTTTCAAAGTAATGAGAATATAGGAAAGCATCAGCTGAACACAAAACAGTCCTACCCTGGAAAACAGCTCTGAACTTTACAGAAAGCTTCTTCCCAGTTATTTAAATTTAAAACAGGAACGGGTGTAACCACAACACAGGGACCGGAGGTTCACACAAGCCTTTCTTTCCTTAATCAAGGTTTGTTAAATAAGCCGCCATCGATTAGGCTCATGAGGAATGTTAACTCAAAACAAAGCAACCCCACATTTTCACTTAGCGTGGTCTCCGGTGACAAGGAAAACTTTGATTTCCCCAGCAACCAACCACTTTTTGCAGAACTTTCGAACTTTCGCCCGCAAGAAAAGAGCCCCTTTTCTGAGATAGAGAATTGGGAATTCCCACATTCATTAAAAAGGGCAGCAGTTTAAAATCCAGGAGGAGCGGTTTTCTTCAGCTTCACATCCACCACTTATTTTCACCTTTTTATAAACGGATAGATTTGGAAGGATTGTGTCCCGCAATAGCGAAGCAAAGGACTTTGGGCTGTGTCCTCTCGCCTTACTCTGCATTACACCATGCTGGAGCTTTTCTGAACCTGGGAAATTGGTCCAAACAAACTAGGGGGGGGGGAGAAATAGGGAGTTGTGTGAATATAGCTGATGAAAAACGAACAAGGTCTTAATCTGCGAATAGCTAAGATTCTCCCAAGAGTTTCAAACTGAGGTTTGGATTTATGAGCTGCTCCTCACCCAATTTATCTGCAAAACCTGCCCAATCCTTAAGGAGCCCTTTTTCGGGAGACAAATCTCTGCCAAAGAGTTTAGAAAATCTAAGGAACCGAAGATAAACGGAGCCTTCAAGCCAGGCAACCAAGATACGATTACTCCAATCTCCACAGAACTAGTTTATTGGCCTCGGTTAGACAATCTGGGTGTGGGGGATCTCCAGAGGCTCTCTAGGCCCGGCCAACCCTTCGCAGCACAGGTCCGACTCCCGTGCAAAAGAGGTCGTGTGGATCGGCGGGCAGGAGAAGGCGAAACGCGTGTCTCGGGTTCCCCCAAATGATTGACAGTTCCCAACCGTCTCCCACGCCATAACCCCATTCCCAGGAGCGCGCGTCTCTCCAAAAGCGGCTGGATCCAGGCAGGCGCCAATCCCTCCCCGAGACCGCGCTGACTCCCGGCGGGGCTCACCTTCCAACGCGCGGCAGCCCCCCGGCAGGACCAGCAGGAGCAACAGCGGCGAGAGCAGCAGCAGCAGGAGCGTCCCCGGGGGCAGCAGCTGGGGTGGCCCCGGGCGGGCCGCAGCCATCGCGGGGCCGGAGCCCGGCGGCGGGGCTGCTGCAGGATCCTGAACCCTGGGCCGGCTCGGAGTCCTTCGGCGACTCCAAATGCGCAGATCCGACGGAATCCCCCCCCCCTCGCTTCAGCTCCCGCGATTAAACTCCTCCGGGCGCGGGGAAAGCGATCCGAGGTCCAGCTAAGCTCGGAACGGCGCCGTCCGGCCAAAGCACGGGATCCTCGCCCGTCGTCCGAACCCGGCGCGGAGATGCCTCACGAATCCCGCCGACGAAGGGACCCCGTCTCGTAGCCCCCGACCTGGCGGCCGCTTGGGTGTCCCCGGAGCTCCCCAAGACACCCCAAGCGCGCGTCGGCGGCCGCCACAAGTCCAGCTATGCAGGGGCCAAACCCGCTGAAGTCCGAGGCGTTTCGGTGGCGCCCGGCCCGATCCAGTTCGGGGCCGAACCAGCGGCTCGCCTCCGCTCAGTCCCGCGAGCGGCCAGCCGTCCCGCAGGGCTGCCACCACCGAGCGCTGCGATCGTCTTGACGCGATCCCTACTCCGGTGTATCCAGGCCCGTGGGGACGGTCCGGCGCGTTTCGGCTTCACGGATCCTCGGGTTTCGGGGCTGGGTCGGTGCCAGCAATTCCGAACTTGTTTCCAGCTACCCGGCCCCTCTTCTCTTTCCCCGGGGTGCAAGACCTGGGACGCTCCGTGCACGTCGGCCGCCAGCGAGCGCCGATTCGGTCCTCAGCGAGCACCCAACCCGCTTCGCGATGCTCCACCAGCGGCTCACGCTCTCGCTCTGAGAGCTCCGGCTCAGCCTCCGCGGCTGAGACCCAAGGGGCGTGGCTCAGCTGCCCATCATATCCCGGGCCTCGCCCCTGGCAACCTCGCACTCGCTCGGCGCAAGCGAGAGGCTGAGGGCTCGCCCCTAGCAACCGCCAAGCTTCCCGCCGATTGGTTCCGCGGCGTTCTTCGCGTTGCCGCCTCGGAAGGGGGAGCTGGGGCGAAGAGGCCGGCTTTCTAAGAAAGATGAATTAAAAGGGGCGGGGCTGGCGGCCAATCAATGGAATGTGACCCCGCCTCTGCCGCTTTCCTCCACCTCCATTGGCCGAGCGGCATTGCAGTAGCGCGAGGGGAGCGCGCCACCTAGTGGCCGCGAGTGGGGGGGGCACGGCTTTAAATGGGACGCCCGTTTCCGTTCCCGCGGGGGCGTAAAGGAAGGGGATGGGGGAGAGCAGCTGGGCATCGGTAAACCAGATTCGGGCATTACTCCGGAGTAAGAGAATAGGCGTGGCACGTCTCCAAATCTTCACTCCCTTCGCCAACCAGGTGCCCTCCAGATATCTCTGGACCTCTGGAGCACATCTGGAAAGCATCAGATGGCCGAGCCGAATTAAAGGGTGTAGATAGACGATGATGAAAGCTATCGCCCAGATCGACTTTAAACCGTCTCGGTTCCCAATTTCAACGCATCCTCTGATGCTGCGAGATGACATGGTGAAAGGAGGGAGGGGGGAGGCTTGGAAGTGTTGTGCATGTTTCTTTTAGGGTAGGCTACAATGGACCTTCCCTGCAAACGTTTCTTACGAAGCTGGTTTCTCTGTTCTGCTGTTTCTCATTTGATGTTCGGCGCTGGAACTAGGAGCACAAGGCAAGGAGCCGAGATCTCCCCCCTCCTTCCAGTTTTACAAGCTTCTTGCACGGGGAGGGAGGAAAGAGGGAGAGTTGGGTCCCACGCCGCGGAGAGTCCCATAGCCGTATAACTTGTGCTCGGGCTGGACTAGAAGACCTCCAAGGTCCCTTCCAGTTCTATTCTAATTGATTGATTGTGCGCCCGATCTCTTTGGCTGAAACGCCGATGCTCTTTCATCCAGACCAGCCTTGCCTGATTCCGAGCGGGCGATTGCCAGGCGTTGCTCCGGATTAGCTGCTCCGGATTAGCGTCGACCTCTCTCGGATCCCGAGAGGTAAGCCTTGAGCGATCGGCGTGGCGGATCGCAAGACGGGCGGAGAGAGAGAAAAAGAGAGAGAGGGAGGGAGATTAAGAAAAAAGGATTGGGAGAGAAAGACTGGGAGAGAAAGAGAAAAATTGAGAGAGAGAGGGAGAGAGAGAGAGAAGGAGGGAGGGAGAGGAGGGAGGGAGAAATTGAGAGAGAAAGAGAGAGAGGAGGGAGGGAGGGAGAAACAGAGAGAGAGAGAGAGAAATTGAGAGAGAGAGAAGGAAGGAGGGAGGGAGAGAGAAATTGAGAGAGAAAGAGAGAAAGAGAGGGAGAGAGGGAGAGAGAAGGAGGGAGGTAGAGAGAGAGAAATTGAGAGAGAAAGAGAGAGATAGAAGGAGGGAGAGAGAGGAGGGAGGGAGAAATTGAGAAAGAGAGAGAAGGAGGGAGGGAGAAACAGAGAGAAAAAGAAAGAGAGAGAAATTGAGAGAGAGAAGGAGGGAGAGAGAGAGATAAAAGGAGGGAGGGAGGAGAGGGAGAAATTGAGAGAAATTGAGAGAGAAAGAGAGAGAGAAGGAGGGAGAGAGAGAGAGAAGGAGGGAGGGAGGGAGAAACTGAGAGAGAAAGACAGGGAAATTGAGAGAGAGAGAGAGAAGGAGGGAGGGAGGGAGAGAGAGAGAGAAATTGAGAGAAATTGAGAGAGAGAGAAGGAGGGAGAAAGAGAGATAGAAGGAGGGAGGGAGAGAGAGAAATTGAGAGAGAGAGAGAGAGGCTTGCGCTGCCCCGAATGAGAGGCGGCAGCCGACGGACACGTCCTCAAGACTCAGCCTAGAAAACTAAATAGGCCTGGCCTTAATTGTGCAAACCGAGAGGCCGTGACGACGCTACTTGGCAGCCGCAGCCCGGCATTCAGGTAACTGTTTCCGAACTAAGCCCCGTTCTCTCCCTCTGCCTTCCGCGATGGTCTTGCTTTTCCTAGTGGCGCTTCCAATTTTCGTGGAAATTCTCCTTTTTTTTTTTTTAATTGGAGAAAAAATGGTTTAAACTAAGCTTGCTCCCCCGTTGATCGGCCCTCCTAAAATATCCTGTTGCAGGAAATTAGAGCTGTAGCTGAAACGTGTCTCCTAATCCTCCTGTTTGCTCAAGGATAGCAAGCAGGGATGTGTGTTTCATGATCAAACAGGCTCAGCAGACTTTTATTTCTCTCCCCTCCCTGTCAGTTTCCCCCTGATTTCTTCATTCAGGCTTTTTTTTCTCTCTCTCTCAATTTGGCAAAAAAATAAATAAATAAAATAAAAATGTTGCTGCGTTAAGCCTGGAAAAGTTGGTGAAGATGCTCCGGAAGGGATGCTGGCATTGATGGGTAGATATTCTGTGCCATAAGATATTCAGCTAAACAAATTACAGCAAAAGAGATGGGATCCTCCCCTCAACTGCTCCGAGTCAGACAAATGACTCTGCACATGCTCAGACGCCCTTGCTTTGGGGATGGGGGTATCAGCCTTGACTTAAAAAACCAAGCATAGCCCCTGCTGTGATTGCAAAATCGGCCCCCAGCCGTCCCTTGAAAAGCGCTGCTTCTGCTGAATGGATTTTTTTTTTATCCTTTCCAGTAATTGCACAGAGATGCCCTATGATGGAGTAAGCCAAGTAGGAGCCTTTGAAGGAATGTACAGTAGGAGGATAAGATATCAGCAGGAGGGGGGGGGAGAGGAGGCAGAACTGAGATATTTCAGGCATGAGATGAAGGACAAAACCGTGTTTCCTCATTCCATGTTCCAGAATTAATTTTGCTGGACCTCTGTGGTCCTTCTGCCCCACTCTGGGTAAAAGAGGTTAAGGTTGGAAGTGCAGAAGATAAGCAGTTCCCCTTCCTCTTCTTCCTCTTCCCCTTTCCTTCCCTTTCCCTTCCTCCCCATCCCTTCCCTTCCCTCCTCTCCCCTTCCCTTCCCCTCCCCTCCCCTCCCTTCCCCTTCCCTCCCCTTTCCCTTCCCTTCCCTTTCCCTACCCTTCCCTTTCCCTTCCCCCCAACCATTCCCCTTCCCTCCCCTTCTCCCCCTTCTCCTTTCCCTTCCCTTCCCTCCTCTCCCTTTCCCCTCCCCTCCCTTCCCTTTCCCTTCCCTTTCCCTCCCTTTTCCCTCCCCTTTCCCTTTCCCTTCCCTTTCCCGTCCCTTCCATTTCCCTACCCTTCCCTTCCCCTTCCCCCTAACCATTCCCCTTCCCTCCCCTTCTCCCCCTTCTCCTTTCCCTTCCCTTCCCTCCTCTCCCTTTCCCCTCCCCTCCCTTCCCTTTCCCTTCCCTTTCCCTTTCCCTTTCCTTTCCCTTTCCTTCCCTTTCCCTTCCCTTCCATTTCCCTACCCTTCCCTTCCCCTTCCCCTTCCCCCCTAACCATTCCCCTTCCCTTCCCTTCTCCCCCTTCTCCTTCTCCTTTCCCTTCCCTTCCCTTCCCTCCTCTCCCCTTCCCTTCCCCTTCCCTTTCTCTTCCTCTTCCCTTTCCCTTCCCTCCCCCTCCCATCTCTTCCCCTCCCCTCCCCTCCCCTTCCCTTCCCACTATTTCCTTTTGCCTAGTGTTGTACCACCCCTGGTCAAAAATCATATGGTGTATTAGAAGGAAAAGAACATAAGAATGTTCTTTGCAATGGTTAAGGCCTCTGCCTAAAACCAGGAAACTGTGAATTCTAGTTCCACTTTGGACAAGAAAGCTGGCTGGGTGACTTTGAGCCAATCACTAGGAGACTGTGAGGTCTAGTACCCATTTTAGGCACAAAAATCGGCTGAGTGACTTTGGGCCAGTCACCAGGAGACGGTGAGTTCTAGTGCCGCCTTAGGAATGAAAGCCACTGGGTGACTCTGAGCCAGTCATTTTCTTTCAGTCCAATCCACCTCGCAGGTTTTCTGTTTGGGGGGGAACAGGAAGAGGAAGGGGTATGAGGAAGGTTTGTTGTCTTGAGTTATTTTTAAACTAATAAAGGTGGGATAAAAATCTAATAAATAAACCACATAAACCACAAGGATTCCATTTTCTTTGGGGGGAAGAGAAAGAGATTTTCAGAGAATCTAGAAAAATTGAACCCTCTAATTTGATAGCAAAAGGAAGGCATCTTATAAACATGGCCACATCTGACACCCAACCCTGTTTTCTTTTAACTTATTTATTTTTCTATTGCTTTTAAAATAGCGTTAAAAAAAAAACCAAACAGAAAATGCAAATAAAACACAAAG